CTGAAATCAAGAGTCAGATGCTTACCCGACTGGCACCCCTGTTGCTTTACTTATGAAGTGCAATCCCTGAGCAACGAGGGTGAGGGAAAAGTGAAGGGAGGCAGAGAAAGGTCCGAGAAGTAATGCCAGGGATGCCTTAGCATTGTTTCACGAAGAACTCTGAAGACACAGGGTTGGTGAGCAGGCATGTGTTCAGCCACATGGGAAATCTTCAGAGACACTGTGCCTTGGAGTAGTCCTTGGAAGGGAGGAGGGTGAAGGAAGCTGTCAGACTGGGTCTCTCCAATGTGAAGATGGCTTCCCCTGGGCACCACTTCTGAGTTACTCCTCTGGCCCCTTTTGGTGGCAGTTAAGGAAACCAGATCACGCAACCTGTGTTTCAGCTGAGCCTGTGTTTCAGCTGGTGGGAGAAGCCAAGATGTCAGGGTATGTGGCTTATTGGCCCAGCTGCCATTGGTCAGCTGCAATATTAAATTGCAATTAAATATTTGTCTAATATTTACTTTGGTTGGCAGAGGGCGGGGAGCAGAGCTGGCCCCAGCAAGGCAAGGGCACCTTTTTTTTTTTTTTTTTTTTTTTTTACCAGTGTGTCAGGAGTTGGGCATGGGGACCTGAGGTCACTCATGCAGACTTCCATTCATTTCAGGGATGCTTTGGCTCCTTTGTGACTTACAAGTAAGTACCTGGTCATTCTTTTACGAGTCTAGAGCCCCTGAAAGGGTGACGAGACTGCTTGGTAGCTGGTAGATGTCATTTTCATCAGGATCCCCTTTCTTTTTGGTCATTTAGGAATATCCATTACCTGGCTTGCTTGCCTTATACGATTATGTGCCCGTGCCTGTCACAGCAACTCCACAGGTTCTTGTGCTTGAATACTTGCCAGGTACTAAAATAAATGAGCACTCCTATTTTGGCTGGTAAAAAGTGTTGCATAAATGGAGCTTTTGATTTTATGGATTTGAACAAGTGAGTTCAAGTTTTCCTTTCTTGCTCTTAGTTCGTTGTCTAATTTGGGGGTAAAATGAAGTTATGTAGGGATTGGAAAAAAGCTCTCAAAAGAGGCACTCCTTATCACTAGTGCATATTTTACACATGCCCCAACTCCAAGACACTCCTCCTCAGAGCCCTTTTGAGGAGAGAGAACATTCTTCATCACTAGGATGCCTCTCTTCCCTTTGAGTTATCCTCGTGTCCTCCATAAGCATGTAAAAAATTCTGGAGGAGTGGCACTCCTGTGTACTCTTTGCAGATTTTCTTTCTTCCCCCTCCAATGTCCACAGATCCAGTTGGCCCTAATTTCTTTCTAGTGGACGGTGGGCAAGGAAGTAGGAAGTCATCTAAAGACTTCATACCACTGACTGCAGGTATTATTGGAGAAATGACTGCCTACTCCCACAGTACCTCAGGGCCCCCCAAGATCAAAGCCTGCAGTTCTACTCTCAGAATTTCTTTCCTTTGGCTAAATTTTGAATGTTCCTAAAAGAATACCGTACTGGAGGACTGGCATTTTAAGGTGTCCTAAGTCATCTCTATCTTTAATGTGGACGAGGAGCATCTTGGGTCAGCGGGGGCTCTGATGGCAGCTGGAGGATAGAGGAAGAGAGTCTGTAGTTAGGTAGCTCAGAACCCAAAGAGAGCTTCCACTTTTGATAGAAGCCCTCCAAGGTCTACATATAGGCGGTAAGTAACATTTTTGACATTAAACTTCCTCTCTCTTGCCAGCAGAGGTGCTCCCTACTTTTAACTTTCAAGAATTTTTTTTTTTTTTATGGTAGCAGTGGAAAATTATGTAGGTTAGCAAAGTCAGGAGAGGTTGGAAAACCCCTCAAAAAAATACCAGGAAAGTGTCACCCAAACCCAACATATCTTTTTTTTTTTTTTTAAGATTTTTAAAAATATATTTATTCATGAGAGACAGAGGCAGGCAGAGACACAGGCAGAGGGAGAAGCAGGCTCCATGCAGGGAGCCTGATGCGGGACTTGATCCCAGGACTCCAGGACCACGCCCTAGGCCAAAGGCAGGCACCAAACTGCTGAGCCACCCAGGGATCCCCCCAACATATCTTTTAAAAAAAACTAAACGCTAAAGGAATATGAGAGCCAAGAAAAAAGGCTCCTTGTGTACAGAAACACACACTGTGATATTTTCTCTGCCCTCTTTTTGCCCTATGAGACCATCTTTTATGAAGGTCATCATTTATGAAAATCAATAACTTTAATTGTAAGGATGTCTCCTGAGGCAATGGGAAATAATATGGTAAATAAACACTAGCAGTTGCTGAATCAAAGGAAGGAATATTCCAGAACACAATTAAGCCCAGCCTGGGTGCCCCCTTTTAATCAGATCCCTCACTCTCTGTGGGGCTCACCCCTTGGCTTAGACTTAATTGAGCTTCTGGATTAAAGGCATGAGAGTTGAGTCTCATTTTGTTCTGAGTCTAATCATAGAGAAGTCATTTATTCCTTTTACCAATTTTCAGGACCTGTCCCAGGAAGTGTTGAGAATTGGATGTGAGTTGTAATTACTGATGTTATATGCTTCTTTGCAATTTGCAAAGCACATTTATATGCATTGTTGCATTTAGTCCTTCCAACCAGTCCACATCATTATATTATTATTGTTGCAATTTGGTACCTGGGGAAACCGAAGCTTGAAGAGAGCTTCTGTGGCTTGTCTAAAATTGTAGAGAAAGGGATGGCTTTTTTTTTTTTTAGATTTTATTTATTTATTCATGAGAGACAGAGAGAGAGGCAGAGACACAGGCAGAAGGAGAAGCAGGCTCCATGCAGGGAACCTGACATGGGACTTGATCCCTGGTCTCCAGGATCACACCCTGGGCTGAAGGCGGCGCTAAACCGCTGAGCCACCTGGGCTGCCCAAGGGATGGCTTTAAACTCAGGTTTTCTCCCCCAGATCCTGTCGCTCCACAGCTCACCTTGATTCTGGGGAGATGCCGCTGTCTACCACTCCTCACTTTTAACTTTGTTAATAATAACTGGCAATAGTGACTGACATCTGGGATGGTCACATAAGGCTAGGCACAGCTCATTTCATCCTCCTACTAATCGAATGATACAGATTTTATAACTCAGCTTATTTTACGTTGAATAAACTGAGGCTCGGAGAGGTTAGATATGTTATCCCAGGTGCAGAGCTAGAAAGTGATGGGGACAGGATTCAAATCGAGGCCTATTTGACTCCCCAGCTCTTAACCACATCACTATGACCCTTTTGTGTCCTTTGGTTGCTCTTTCAAAGTTTTCACCTCCTTCCAAATGTCAGATTCATAGAGCAGAGGCACACGGAGTGCTTGCAAGGGGAAAGAACAAACTCTAGGCTTTAGGAAGACAAGGAATGAACCATGGGTCTTCCAGGACTTATTCCAGTGGGAGACAAAACTGATCTGTGGAGCAAAGCTGTAATACCAGAGGCTTTAGTCAGGGGGGCGTGGAGCTCATTGGGGATGCAGGGAAAGTGGAGTGACCAGCCCTCACTGAGGCAGCAAGTCCCTTACTAAGGGACTCACTGTGCATCCTCGACCCTGAGTCCTCTATTTTTATTGCAAGATGGGGTGCGTAACCCCCAGGCATCCTTTACTAATGACCTATGGCAAGGCAGAGGGGCAGTGTCACCAGCTGGGCCTGAAGCCAGCTGCCTGTTCTGAACACGACAGCACAGACTGAGGACTGTAAGACCTCAGTTACAGATTGGTTGGTTACAGATGCTCCAGGGCTGAGCAAATCCTGAAAGCTAAAGTTCAAGGTAAAGGCCATAATACACTTGGGTGCTACGTAGGCTCTGGCTTCAATTAAAACAAATAAAAATTCTCCCTAGCCACTTTTTCAAGATATTTAGCTCATTTCCTTGCTGAACGAGGCTGGCAGAGAGGTGGGGGAAGTTGGTGAGAGAAGGTCTGGGAACAAGACAATTTGTCCAACCCAATGAAAAGAAACCCTCTGAAGATTTGGAGGAGGTGGGGAATCCATGTGTCTTTCATCTTCCACCATTCCCTGGGGAAGCAGTAGGGCAATTTTCCTCCCTGTTGAGGCTCATGGTTCTTAGCCCTGGCTGCCCATTAGAATCACTTGGGGGACTTTTTCAATCTCTCTCCATGCCTGGCACCCACCACCCCAAAATCTCTGGGGGTGAGGCCCAGGTACTGTAATTTTTATAAGTTCCCCAGAGGATATCACTGCTCTAGAATTCCATCATGAGAAACAAAGAACTGACATGAGTGTCCAATTAAACTTTATACCGTTCTGGTGCATTTGGAAGGGAAACCATCATCGTAGGCCAATTTTAAAGATGGGAAGAGAGGGAGAGAGAGGAGAAGTAATTTGTTAGGAGGGAGAATTTGACAATTCTCAGCCGCAGTCACTGGGACCCCCACAGTGGGGCAGGTGTTAAGTAACCCTGCCTGGTGAGGGCAGGGGTGAGGTAGGAGGAGCCTCCTTTTCTTTTTGTTCTTGCACAACTTTCTTTCTGGTAGTGTATTACAGTATCAGTAGTTCTACGGCTTAGCTTCATATGCTCTCAGGCAGGAGGTCTCTACTCCTTTCCTGGAATGACCTTTCTAATGAGAGCTCTACAACTGTTTTAATGTGTTTCCCTAAGGAAAACCCATAGCTTTCTTTTCTAAATCTCAGCTCTTTGCAAGCCCAAGCTTGCAAGGGGTCAGGAGATGCCTGCATCTGTTTAGAAGGAGCCAGGGACCCCGTTTAGTGCATTCTGGACAGAGTGCAACACGTGCACATGCAGTGACAACGCATCAGTGAGCGTGGAATCAGGCCTAACCCGGTCTCAGCTTTCCATCCAGCTGTAAACCCAGCGTGTCTGCCACTGAATCTGTAACAGCTAATTCTTTTAGAACACAGAGCTAAATCTCCCAGGGGGCCCGGCCTGGAGAGGCTGCCTGAATTGCTGCCTGCTTAAAGGTGCACTCATGTTTCTTGATTTAACTGGGTCAGTTCAGTTGTTTATATCTGCCTTTCAATTTTAGGGCAGAGTCGGCTTCCGGGTGCTGGCAATTCCCAGAGAGCGTGGGCTCTGAGTGACCAGGGCAGGTGTTCAGTAACCCCCTGTGAGTATTATTTAATTTTGTTCCTCCCACAGCCTCACGGTTTATGTATGAGTTGTTATGTGACTGAGTTCTATTTTTAACTGCAAACATGCTCCGTTCAACTGGAATCATGTTCTTTAGACGCTGCATTATGCACACTGGCTCCAGAGTTTGCCAGGAGTGCTAAACGAGACCGTGACCATTCTCAGCTGCAGTCACTGGGACCCCCACAGTGGGGCAGTGGTGCTAAGTAACCGTCCAGGTGCTACCCGAGGAGAAAGCCCTGTCTGGCCACTTTTATCAGCTTCTCTCATCTCAGGCCTCTGCCTAAATCCCAGAATAAAGCCTGTGGGCCTGGGGGGGAGGGCATCCACAAGGCTGCTGGTGAAGAAGATTAAACCTGAAATAAATGGTAATGAGGCACCAGCAATGTAATGCTCATTGTAATGTATCTTCTCAGGTCCTAAGCAGGAGCATCCGTGGTTTAGATGGAGGCCATCCGGTTGAGAAGCCACTGTCCAGTAGGTGTTCCTGTTGAGTCATTCATTATCCTATAGGGAGCACATTAGATAAGTCCACTGGTGGGTTCCCAGGTTGTTTTCTTGGGGTAATCAGAGAGAAGTCGCTTTCAAGAATTGCATGAGCCAGGGGTTTTCTCTTTGCCTTCTTCCAGAGGACTGGTGTCTGGCTTATCCAGGATGATCTAGAGAAGGGGCAGAGCCAGCAGCCTCGGAAGGGAGGATGTTAGTATCGGTCAGGATCCTTTGGTGACAAGCAAGAGAAACCAACTCTTTAAAAGAATTAACCTCCCTAAGAAGAAAAGGACTTTTTAGAAATTAAGTTCCAAGGCAGGGCTACCTTGTTCACAGCTGCCCCAACAGGAACACCTCCAGGACAGTGGCTTCTCAACTGGAGTGAAGCATCTCTGGAGGAGTTTTAGGTAGCAGGACTGGGGCCCCTGACAATTTCCTCATGACATTGCTGCTGAAATGAATGCTCTCCAGCTACTCTTATGTTTTTGGGTGTGTGTGTATACCCATGCATCAAAATCCAGAGAAAGAGAAAGAGTGTATGAGAGTTTTCTAGAGAAAAACAGAACCAATAGAATATACACAGAAAGGGGTGGGGGAGAGGGAGAGAGAGAGAGGAAGAGAAAGAGAGAGAGAAGGAATTAGCATATACAATTATGGAGGCTGGCAAGCCCAATCTGTAGGGTGGATTGAAGTTGGAGACCTAGATCTGATGTTTCACTTCAAGGGCCATCAGGCAGGAAGAGCTGATGTTGCAGATGAAGCCCAAAGGCAGTCTACTGGATAATTCTCTCCTACTCGGGGGAGGGCTGGTCTTTTTGTTTTATTCAGATCTTCAACAGATTGGACAAGTCCCACTCACATATGATTAAAATGTTAGTGTCATCCAGAACACCTTAAATTAAAATGTTAGTATCATCCAGAACAGAAATACCCAGAATAATGTTTGACCAAGTAGCTGGGCATCCCATAGCCCAATAGACACATTAAATTAACCATCATAGAGAGGGAGGGAGAGAGAGAGAGAGAGAGCACATCTGACCTAATTTGAGTCACATGACCATCCCTTTGGCCAGTAGAAGGCAGGTTGTTGGGCAATTCCAGAGACTTTGCACAATGGAGCTGAACTCATTTCCCAAAGGGAAAGGAGGGAGCTATTACCAGGAGAAAGGGGAAGATACTAGGAAGCCACAAGACAACAGCTGGCTTGTCTTTAAGGAGAATCTTACTTCATCACTTGCTTCTGTGTGGGTTAGCACCAAACATATCTCCTTGCCTTGACTGCCTCTTTCAGCTCCTCTTTTATGTGTGAAAGAGAGAGCAGCTAGGATGGGGAAAGAAATAATTTTTGTTCCTTTGCTCCTTTACATCCAGTCAGGAGTAGTGCTAGTTATTTGAGGGTAAACAATCAGCTCTGGACCTTTACTCTTAAAGGTTTGTTCTACTGCTTCAGTGCTCAAACGCTGGGTCACTGAAAAGTCTCCCCAAACTGTAGAGGGTGTTCATAAGACAGCTCTGTCCAGATGAATTTGAATCTGTTATATTCTGTGTATTTTCTTTCTTGTCTATTCTTTACCTAATGCAGGTGTCCTTTAGCTGTGGCCGCTGCTAGCTTGCGCAGTACCTTTGTGAAACTAAAATAGCACTCGTTCCTCAATGCTTTACATCCATTGGTCAGAAATTGTCATAATGGACTGATTCTATTAGAACAGGATGCTGCTATATTCTAGAATATTGTCACAATAAGTATAACATGTATACAATGCCAATGATGCCTCCTCCCTAAATATGCCACTCTTGGGCAGTGTATGACCTGTCCACCCATAGATGGCAGGCCTTAATGATCAAGGAGAGAGGTAGGCCACTAGAGGCCAGGAAAGCACAATTTGTTTAGTGCTTTTGTGTGTGTGTGTGTGTGTGTGTGTGTGCATAAAGAGGTGGGTGAGGATGTTCCTTTTCTTTGGGTTTTGATCAATAACTGAGCTACTGATCAGATTTAAGACACACATATGAGCCTATGACTCCTCTAACATGGCAAGTCCACCATACTCTTCCAAAAAACTGCCTGCCAGGAATTAGGGGCTTCTGTTCCTGGGAGATATACATAGCTCAGACGAGATCAGCAGGGCGAGGCAACAGACAGATATTGCCACTCAAGGGCACATCTGCTGTGATATCCTTTTCAGAGGTTTGTAAACCTGCCTTCTGATTAGCATGAATGGATGCACTCATTGCAAATTCCATGGATTCATGATGGGGTAGACAAGATCAATAGTGTAAAATGAAAACAGATAAGATAAAAATAAAAGAAATTCTAATATGGTTTCTCCCCATATCTCAATGGATCATATTGTACACATCCTGAGGTAGGCATAGCCCACTTTGCGGACCACTGATCTAGAACGTTACCCCCCCTTACAGCACCTGTGTAGACTGCCCCTGAGCCTGGAGACATCATTATACTTCCTTACAACACAGTGGTCTCTTTGGTAGGGGTTGGCAAGCTGTGGCTCTCAGGCCATACTCAGGCTTTTTATAAATAAAGTCTTCTTGGTACATAGCCACAGCTCACGTGTTTATGTGTTGTCCATGGCTGCTTTCATAATCCAATGGAAGAGCTGAGTAACTGCCACAGAGACCATTCTGTCCACAAAGTCTAAAATACTTATCTGACCCTTTATGCATATGAAATCCGACCCAGGCTCTGGGCAGTCAGTATCAATTATTTTGTGTTGGAAATGAAAGGTAAAACTTGTTTGCCGTCCCTGCTCTGGAGTTAGGCTAGTGTTTGAAGAATGGGTCACTGTGCTAAGGAGGTCAAACTAGGAGGCCTTGCCTTTTTTCCTGGGTATCTAATCGTTGTTAGCTTTGTTAGAAATCTAATCCATCGGTCACCAGGACGCGGAGAAGCAAGTGTGGATGAACCTGGTCCCCTAAGATCCACGTCCTGCACAGCATGGCCAGCAGCATCCGCTTCCTCCTCAGCTCCTCGTCTCCAGGTGGATACGTGTCCTTGTGCACACGGTTAACATGAGCCACCCCACCAGAGGGCTGCAAAGACACTGCACATCACCACAGAGGCGTGCAAATCGGTGTAGAAATGTTTGAATCTCTCAAGAGGATTTTTTTTTTTTTAATTTCAGGTTTGAGGTGGAGGATGGGGCAGGAACTGACATGGCTTATTTCTGCTGACAATCCCCATCTCTAAAGACACTCCGTTATGCCTTCCTCTTTGGCTTTGGCCAGCCCTTTGAAGGAGAGGGCAGAGAAGGAGTCAGAGCTGAGAAAGAAGGGAAAGAGAAAAGGCAGACAGAATGAGGGGGTAATTAAGTTCTGAAGTTCTGAAAGTGTTTGAATGCATCAAGGAGGTGGAATTTGAATCTTGAATTGTAATCAAGTGCTCCCACACTGCCCCCCACCCACCCACCCAGTCAGGTTCGGGCAACTGTCAGGTGAGGGCCACACAGGTGGTCCCTGTTGGGGCGGGGAGCACTCTTAGATGGATTTGCGTGTGCGTCAGGAAGGTTCTGTGCTGGCGACCATGGGTCAGGGGTGTGGATGCAGCCTGTAACCTCAAGAGCAGGCTTGCTTGCTATAAAAGCAGTGGATCCCCAAACTCAGCGTTCCTGCACTGTGGTGCATGCACCCTGCATGTGGGGTGATGCCACCTGCCCGCTCCTGTGAGACTCAGGGTGAGGGGGGCCCACCCAAAGATGCTGATGTCCTGCAGGGTGCTGTGCTGTGAGTGGTAAGATCTCTTCTCCGACTTCTCCCTTCTCTTTGGCAACTTGCAAGAAACAGCCATGGGCCAACTTACTAGCTTGAAAGTAGGGTAAAACCTAAGTACAACAGGGTGGACATTTGGTTTCCGGAAATGGACGCAAACAGGGCTTCTGTAAAGCTCTTTTTAAGGATTGACGTGGATCTCGAAGAGAAAATAGCGGGCCCTTCCCCAAGTTTGCTGTGTAGACTGTGATCTGGCAGCTATAAATGTAAGGGTTTGATTCATACTTTATAAATGTAGTTGCTTCCTGCACCTGTTACCCAGATCCCCTCCCTGTAGGGCTTTGGTGTGCTCTCAATTGTAAATATTAACCTGGCTCAAATGCTAACCTGCTGTGTGCTCTCCCTCCCCCAACCTAGCTCTCATCTCCACCCGTTGGTGATGAAAACCACTCCGCTTAGCACTTTTTCCTGTCACTGGGGAAGTGTGTGTTTGAGTACAAGTGAATTTCTCTCCCTCAATTCTGAGAGCAAGATGACCAAGGCATAAAATTGGATGCCACAGTAGAGCTGGCATTTTTGTGGCCTGAGGCCTGCATAGCCCAGGGTATATATGTTCCCAGGCGCTGAAACTGCCATGGCGTTGAACTTGTGTCTGAATGGCTCAGGACCTGCCTCTGGCAGGACACTTGCTATATGCCCCTTCTAGCTGTGTACCCAGCTTGCAAGTGAACTCTGTGAGCTTATTGGATGCATTGCCTGGGTAGT